CCCTGTACGTGCTGGAGGCGGGCAGGGTGGGGAAGGCCGCGGCCTGCTACGGGCTGGCGGTGCACATGAAAATATACCCGCTGACCTATGCGCTGCCCATAGCTCTCCACCTGCAGAGCAGACGGAGTGCTGGGGAAGGGGGCCTGGGTAGGGGGCATGGCGAAAAAGCAAAGTTTACATTTGTAAGGCACCTCTGGCAGCTTTTCATAAAGATGCTGGGAGTTTTTGGAGCATGCCTACCTCTACCACCTGACCAGGAGAGATATCCGTCATAACTTCTCTCCCTATTTCTACATGTTGTACTTAACTGCAGAGAGTAAATGGAGTTTTGCCCTTGGGCTCGCAGCTTTCCTGCCCCAGCTGCTTCTGCTGCTGGTTGTGTCTGTAGCATTTTACAGAGACCTTGCCTTCACTTGTTTCTTACACACTGCTATTTTTGTGAGTTTTAACAAAGTATGCACATCCCAGTACTTTGTCTGGTATCTCTGCCTTTTGCCCCTGATAATGCCTAGTATTAAGATGTCCTGGCGTCGTGGTGTCCTGCTTCTCTTCTTGTGGTTTCTTGGACAAGGCCTGTGGCTCACCCCTGCCTACTTCTTGGAGTTCAAAGGATACAACACTTTTGTACTTATATGGCTGGCAGGTTTGCTTTTCCTGTGTATTAATAGCCTCATAATTGTTCAGATTATTTCACATTATCAAAAAGAAGCACAAGTTGCAAAAACACTGAAGCAACAGTAATAAATGGGCCAAAATCCAGTAACAGAATTACTGTATTTAGCAAGGCTTTTTATACTACCAGTCTAATGTATGTTGTATGTGAATGGTCCTTTTTCAGGGCTGTGAGGTCACTGATGGACCTTAATTATCCTGAGCAGTGTCTGCAGGTTCTGACAGTGCCAGTCACTCATGTGAACCTTTAAACTGTTGAGAGCCCTCTCTCCTGATGGAACTCCCTGAAAGGATCTTGGACCAGTTTGCTTGTCACATTTAGGGCTCTGGTGGACCAGGACTGATCTCTGCCTGCCATCTCCTGCCATAGTGTGACCACACCCTCATCAGTGAGGGTCTGGCCTGTGACAGGGTCACCCTCGGCTCCCACTTGTGCCCTGGTGTGGAGCAACCCCTATCTTCTTACTTCCTGACACCCTTTTCTCATTGTTCCTATACTTTGTCCCTGACTTGTTGAGGTCTGTGGCCTCTGCCTAGAAAAATACAGAAAAGTATAAAGGAATGCTGGAGTTTGGCAGTCTTGTACACTCCAGTAGGTGCGTGGGGTGCTCTGCAAGGGTTAAGCTAATGAATAAATGTAAGGCAATCATTTAAGATGTACTCTGGGATTTATTTTTTCTTTTCACAGTAACATTGTAGCTATACCGTGTTTGTGGGCTGTACCTTGTCTTCCATCAAGTAGGAAAAAAATGGTTATTTCATACAAGTCATCAACTCCTAGAAACTTTTTATTTCTTTCAGAATTGAGATGTGCCCACTTGCTCAGATACTTCTTTTTACCTTTTCAGTGCTCTGAGTTTTTGCACGGATTTATTTCTCTTGGAAATAGATAAATTCCTTTCTGCTGTGGAAGAAAATTTTTCCAAATTCCTGTCTTGGATCACAGAGACATACAATGCAAGAAGAACATGTTCCTTGCTGCCATGATCTAAAAAAGACCACTGCTTTAAACTTCAGTTAATGGGTAATTATTGGGGACTTTTTTTAACAGTAGCAAATGCAAAGAGTCAGAGTACAGCTAGAATGGCACCTGTGTCCCAAAAGCACTAGAGTTTATACCAAAAAGAAATTGGAAATGTAGTTTCTCAGTAGTTCTGCTATTAAATGAAAAAGGAAGTGAAAGGAGTTGAGGAAGTGGAGCAGTTGCCAGAAGAAAAGAAAAGTTTTAAAATAAGCTCTACAGCCTGTCAAAAGGAGGTATTTATTCCCAGATGAGACATGGTAAGATGAGGAATTGAGTGGCAGGTGGTAGATAGAGGAGTTCAGAGCCATTTTGGAGTCGATACCCTCCTTGAGAACACCCCACGAAAGGTCTGGTGTACACAGCCCTTGACAGAGGTGGAAACCGGTGATGTATTTGTTAATAAAATCTTGAGTTTGAGTAGCCGTATGCCAAATTTAAGAATTTTGATATTTGCTTCAGCATTTAGTTAAAACCTACCTAACTACAGGAAAGTGAAACCCTTAGTGTGTGACATAGAGCAGAGCTTCAAGGCACAATAAATTCCACGGTTTGGTGGGATTCCCAGGGTTGGTCAGATGTGGTCAAGCAGGTTTGCCTCTCAGACTCATGCTTGCTGTGCTGCCCCTCTGAATCCTGTGGTCTCGCAAGGCAGCCCTCTACCCCAGTGCTGCAGTGGCTCCCTTGCTTCCTTACATTAAGGGATTTCTTTCCTGGTGTTAGTTCTACCTCATGGGGCTGGATTACAGCTCTTTGTTCTGTGAATGTTTCCCTTTACTTCTTGGCTGCACTGAGGTAGTTGCATTAAAAGAGAGGAAGTACCTGAGCCCCAGTGGCCCAGAGCCAAAGGGTGTGTTAGGAGGTGTGAGGTGTCCTTGCACCTCTCGGGCCCAGTTCAGCCGTTCTGATGTTGTCTTAGGAGGAAGGATGATTTCCCTGCACAGTCCTGTGGGGTGGTCCTGCTCCCCAGCTGGGAAGGCATTCTGTTTTCTCCCACTGGTCTCACTCACATTCACCTTCATATTGTGAAGATTCTGTCAGCCTCTGTACTTCCCAGAAATCAGATGAGGCAACACATTCTTTTGACAAACTCTTGGTTTTCTGGACAGGTCTTACAGATGTGGCACTGATTTCTTTGCCCTGGCTTTGCCCAGGATGAAGGCAGAAAGACTTTTAGCAACAGCTTTTCTACATCTTCTACAAGAGGTTCTACTGGTAGCTCCAGGCACATTCACATATTGTTTAGTTTTGTATTCATCACCAAAACATTTTTTTATATCCTATGAGTGTGTGAAGAGAAAGCGTCCCAAGAGATTCTATTTTTCAAGGTAGAGTTTGACATGGCCTGTTAGTGTTTCACCAGAAGACTGAAGAGGCTCTCTGTGCTGATTATCTCTATTTGCCCCATGCCAATATGCTGGTGATAGCCCATTTTCTCTTGCAACTGCTTTTCTCTTACCTGTTACACAGTTTTCTGTTGCAAACAATGTTTTCTTCCCCCAAAGCAATGTTCGCTATCTCTTTAGCACACCTAATTACGCTGCATCCACACCTTTTCACTCCCCTATTTTTTCCCTCCTGCTGGCAAAGAAACCAAATGAAAGCCAAAAGGCATTTCCAGCTTCAAAAACCTTTCAAAAAAACAATGGTGTTTGAAGTTCCTGAGTTCATGACAGAAATGTAATGTTGTTTTTTGCATAAGAAGTTATTTCCTTATGACAAATACATTCTCAATTAATAGCTAAATCATTTAGAGGCCTTCAGAGGGCAAGTTCTATAGCAATAGGGACTGAAGAGTGCCTTCCCTTTGCAGGTCAATACCAGCCCTTTAGCAATGATTTGAAAAACTTGTGCATAAATAATTGATAAAAAGGCTTTTATACAAACTTAGATTTACAGTCATCAATTTAACAAGCTGGTATGAGTCCCTCTTTTTACAGTTGTTTTGTAAGCAAGCTAGTCACCCAAATGTATTTGGGATTTAGAAATAATTCAGTGACTCATAAAAACTGAATGAGAGATTTTAGCTGAAAGAGATGAACAGGGGAGATATTTAAGAGTTTAGATCTTGCAAATCACTTTGGATAGTTAAATGGAATTAAAAAACTTGATTCACTGATAAAAAGCATTGAATAAAAAACATTGTAGCCAAGTGCAGAACAAGTTATAATTCATTAACAAGTAATGGTGATTACTTATACTGCCCTTAAAATTTACCAATTTAATTTCCTATGGAACATTAATTACTTTTGGTGATGTTCAAATTATTTTGTTTAATAATTTTGTGTCCATTTATCTTCTGGTAATTAGGTGTCAGAATGCTACCTTTCATTCCCTACCATGGGTTGCAAAATTGTAATGCTGTTGTGTTTTTTTTTATGTTGAAGTGTCAAATAAAATGTGCTTTATTTGCACAGATTTTTCACATTGCAGTGAAACCAGCCCCGAAGTGCCAAGTGTAAGATGTGAAAGGTGAAGTGAAAAGAAGAAAATAAATCTGAAGACAAATAACATTTTTGCCTTGCTTTTTAGAGCTTAATCCATAGTCCAAAAGCTCACAGCTGGATTCACAGGTGAATTTAGTCAAAGCTTCGGGGTTTAACAATTATTTGCTGTAACATTCATAAATACAATTACTCAAATAACAAGGTAAACAAAAATATAATAGTAAATGGATCATTACGTTTTAGGATTAACATGTTGAATTGTCATCTCTGACACAACAACTATGTACACGGTCCTTATTAGGTGACTGCCCTGTCCCTGATACTCAAGGATGTATTTATGTGCACTATATGCACAAATCTAAACATTTGCCTGCACATACACAGGCAAAAAGAAAAGTCCCAGTCCAAACACCTTTGAAAACCTGATTTTTCAGATCTGCCCTCTGCAAAACGGGTTTCTTAAATATTTCATGAATTCAGCCCTCGAATCTTTAGTGATTCTAAAATCACATGTATTTTAATGCACATGGAAAGTAAAAGCACGTGCAACAGGGATCTTGTGTTACAACAGACCAAATTAAGAACCAACTGATTCTGACTATATTGAATGTGCCCATTTCACCAATATCCTGGTGTCCTTCATTACAACAATCTACACTGGTCACACTATTTGTGTTGGAGCCTTACCTCAGGCATTATGCGTGATGAATGAGGTCAGAGAGCTACATTTTGTATTAGTAAAAGTATCAGAAAGTTATGTTTACTCTTGGTGAAGTACCATTGTTGTTTGTTTTTAAAATTACTTTTCTGTAAGGCCCTTAATAGATGCATGCAATAATGCATGCAAGCCATGTATTTGTAATGCCTGTTAGGTGTCTCTTTCACTGGACATTGTCCAGTACATACAAAGACCAAAATCTGTTCTTTTTTAATGGTTTAAGTTAATAATAGGATTGTTTCAGCAGAATTCCTCATGAATCTCCTTTCTGACACATGCTGAAGCAGGCAGCCATGGGCTTCTGGAGAAACAAGAGGCTGCTTATTGGAGAAACTCTCACATGATGTGTAGATAAAGCATTGGCTTCAGCCTCTTCTTACTCTTAGAGCTTAAATTGGAGTCTGTAACATTCTCTTCTGATAAAACATTTCATAGTTTGCATGTAAAAAAATGACAGATGAGATCCTCAGTATTTTTTGTGGGAAATGCTGGGGGAGCAAGCTACAACATCCGTGGAAGAAATATCAAAAGAAAATGTCTGTATCTAGTTAATTTATGAAGAAAGCAGCTGGAAATCAGCTAAAATGCAGGTAAACTGCGCAGTAAGCCCGTACTGTGAAACCTACATTATTTGTATCAAGTGTGCTTTCCCTTTTTACAGGAGGAAAATGGGATACTGATAGCAATAGTCAGGCTGGATTAACATAATTTTGTTCCTTCATGTTTTCATAGGGGGGTCTATAGGAAGTTACATCCTACAGTAGCACTTCTGGAGTTGTAAGCTGTTTAATAGGCAATATTGTTGGTGTAGCAAGAGAGTATTAGTGAGCAGCCACTCTAAAACTGCTATTTGAAGGTTAACTCATGTAATATCTGATTTCTG